TCTGGAGGATGGGATAAATATCAACTTCCAAACTCAGTAAGTGTGTTAAGTTTTTATCACTATAACTAAAATACCTGACAAGAACAACTTAGAGAAAGAAAGTTATATTTGAGTTCATGGTTTCAGAGGTTTCAGTCCAGTCAGACAACTCCATTGCTCTAGGCTTAAAGTAAGACAGAACATAATGACAGAAGGGGTTGGCAAAGTAAAGCAGAGACAGCATGAGGAGCCAAGGACAAGATACGCCTCCAAAGGTATGCTCTTCAGTAGTCTACTTCCTGCAGCTGCAGTCCACCTGTCTATGGTAACCACCCAGTAAATGATTCAAATTATTAATCCATTCAATGAACTGATTCACTGATTAGGTCATGGCTTCCATTTTATCCCTGAACATTCCTGCAGTGTCTAACATGAGCTTTTTGAGGAGATGACTTGCACCCAAACCATAACATTCTGCCCCAGGGCCCCCCAAAACTCATTTCCAATTCACAGTGCAAAACGCATTCAGTCAACCTCCAAGAGTCCCTATAGTCTTAATAAACAGTTCCAACATTGTTCAAAAGTTGTTCTAAGCAAATTCTTGGTTGTGAGCCCCTATTAAAAAGTTAAAAAAAAAAAAGATTTAAAAAGCGAATTACACACTTCCAATATATAATGGCACAGAGTTAACAATCCCATTCCAAAGGGAAGAAATAGGGGCATATAAAGAAGGAACGGCACCAATGCAAGACTGAAACACATCTGGGCAAAGAAGCCCAGCATCTGGGATACATGGTGGGGAGATGCAATCTCTAAAGGGCCTGGGCAGCCCCACCTCGTCAGCCTTGCAGGATATAACCCATATGGCCTCTCTCTGTCAGCAGCCAGCACTTTTCTTCAACAGAAGTTCCACATTACTGGCATCTTTTAATTCTAGGTTTTAATTCCACTGTTGCTTCAGCTTTCTTCCCAAAGCTTCACAGTTATCTCCCTCTCAGGAGCTGCCCATAGGGATTCCAACCCTCAATTCTCTTCGCCTCTCAGGTATTCCTTCGAAAAATCAGAGGAAGCCTTAACAACCCCTTAGCTCCAGCATCCCATCCTGCATTCCTGCAGAACCAGCATTCCTGCCACCAGCTCAAGCAGTAGCCAGGTCCCCTTGGACCATGGCTCCTCTGAGTGCCTAGGGAGCAGAGCATGGTGAAATGAATCTTGGGGAAATAACTTTCTAGACAACCCTGTGCAAGACCCTGTCCCAAGGTCTCTTCTCAAAGGAAGTTTCATTTTTATACCCTTGAGTCTATTATAGCTAGGGTCTTCCTGATTCCTGAGATATCCTCAAGGCATCTTTCCTATTGTCTCTGTGTAAAGTACTTAGCTTCTCTTTAGTAGTGGTGATCTTTTCAGCCACCACATCTTCCTTGACCCATCTTACATGGTCTTTTCTAGTCAAACTGCAAGTTTTTAAAATCTTTATCCTCTGCTTTCTGCTCCCAATTCTCACAGGACACAAGGCTAAAAGGCACCAGCAATACCCATGTCACTGCCTGAATGCAGTGCTGCCTTGAAATTTCCTCCTTCAGATTAATTAGTCCATCACCTTTAAATTGAGCCTCACAGAAATTCTCAGGACATGGGCAAAATGTGCGCAAGTCCTGTGCCAGAATATAAAACAATTAGCCTCTAATTCCCCATGAAAACCTTGATCCTCTCTGAAATCTCATCAGCACAATTTTTATTGTCCACATTCTTATCAGCATTCTGATCTTCTGAGCTCCCATCAAAACTCCCATTAGCTCTGCTTACAACATTCTATGGCTTCTCTAGCCTGCATATTCAAACTTTTCAAAAGTCCTCCCAGAAATCAGTTCCAAAAGTTTCTAAACTATATGGTCAGGTTAGTCACAGCAATATCCCCACTCCTGCTACCACTTTTTGTGTTAGTGGGTTTTGTGTCATGGTGCTCAAAATACCTGACAAAAACAACTTAAAAGGGCATATTTGGGCTCACAGTTTCAGAGGTTCAGTCCATGGTGGGCCGACTCCATTGCTCTGGGCCTAAGATGAAGCAGAACATCGTGGTAGAAGTACATGGCAGAGGAAGGCTGCTCAGGCCATGGTAGCAATGAAGCAAAGAGAAAGTACAAGGATCTAGAGATAAGATATATAACCTCCAAGGTTACTCCCCCATTGAATTACAAACTACAGTCTCTCCCCACTGCCTACAGTTACCACCCAATGATCCATTCAAATCAAATAGATTAATCCACTGATTAAATTACAGCTCTCGTAATGTAGTCATTTTACTCTAAAAATTCCTGTATTATCTAACAGAAGCTCTTTGGGGAGACACCTCATATCCAAACCATAATAGTTAAACTGTTGGCAAAATCTACTTCTCTACAGTTACAGGTGTGCAGTCTCTTTCTAGCTGGCATCTAAGGGCCCCTGACAGGTCCTGAAGGCCACCTAATTCCTTCTCACATAGTCCAGCAAATGGCATCTCCCCATGTTTTGAATCTTTTTGTCTTCTTCTTCTTCTCAACCAGAGAAAGCACTGCTTCTGACAGTTCTTGTAGTTAAATTTGAATACTCTCCCTATCTAAAAGTCACTGTACCACATAACATAATCACAGAAGTGACATCTCATCATATTCACAGGTTCCTGGGATTAGAGCACAACATCACTCAAAGGCCATTTTAGACATTCTGCCTACTATGATGTCTCTGAGAATTAACATTCAGAGGTGATAAATTAAGGATTTTTAAAAAATCATATGCATATGTGTATTGATCATATATATATATATATGCATTTTTAGTTTTGGTCTCATGGGATTATACATATGATATATGATAGCCATTCTCTAAGACTGACCCAGTGACCGTCACCTTTTTGTATTCATGACCTTTTATAGTCCCCTCCCACACTGTATCAGGTTTATCCTCGAACACAATAGAAATGATGGTATGTGACTTCCATGGCTAGGACATAAGATACACTATCATTTCTATCTTACTCCCTTGGATCATGTTCTATGGGGAAAGTCAGCTGTCACATCATTAAGACACTCAAGCAGTCCCATGGAGAGATTCACATGACAAAGAAGTGCCAAAAACCAGAACCAGCTTTCCAGCTATATAAGTGAGCCATCTTGAAAACAGTTTCCCCAGCTCCAGTCAAGTTTTCAGATAACTTCAGCCTCAGTGAATATCTTCACTGCAATCCCATGAGAGACCAAGACCACAAACACCTCATTAAGCTATTCCCAAATTCCTGACTCACAGAAACTGTCTGAGATACTACTTATTATTGTTTTAGTCACTAAGCTTTGGGATGACTTGTTAAACAATATATAACAAAAATATATAGATATAAATATATAAATATTAGAGGAATACGATTTTAAAAAAATAAAAAAATTCTAAAATGAAAGAATTGCAAATACCCATTAATATAAAAATCAAATAAGTAGAAAAATCAATTTCTTAAACGTACTATTTTAATAATTAAAAAAAATAAATGGAATACAAATAAAAATACTCAAAAATAAATACTGTTCCCTGGAATTGCAATAACATTAAAAGTTCCTTATAGGGGCTGGGGATGTGGCTCAAGCGGTAGCACGCTCACCTGGCATGCGCGGGGTGCTGGGTTCAATCCTCAGCACCACATAAAAATAAAATAAAGATGTTGTGTCCACCGAAAACTAAAATAAATAAATAATTAATTTTTTTTTTTTTTTTTTAAAGTTCCTTATAAAGCTAGGCTACTCCAGGGTCATGCTCGCCTGGCATGCTTGCGGCCCGGGTTCGATCCTCAGCACCACATACAAACGAAGATGTTGTGTCCACCGAAAACTAGAAAATAAATATTGAAAAATTCTCTCTCTCTCTCTCTCTAACTCTCTTTAAAAAAAAAAAAAAAGAAAAGAAAAGAACTGGTACTATTAAAATGTCCTCAACTTCATAACATTTCTCTTAAAGAGTAGGGCCTAATTTTACTTTCCCTGAATATGGGCTGGACTTAAAGATTCACTTCTAATGAAAGAATAAAACAGAAGTAGTGGTGTGTAACTTCCAAAGTTATATCACTAAAGGTACCAACACTTATATCTTGCATTCTTTGGACTACTCTCCCTGGGGGAATTCAGTCATCATGTCATAAGGAGACTGTGGAGAGGCTGCAAGGGGAAAAACTAGAGTCTTCTACCAAAAACCAACACCAGCCAGCCAAGCATGTAAGTGAGGCCCCAAGAAACAAATCCTCCTGCCCCAAACAAGCCTCAGATGACTACATCCCTTGGCAAGATACCAAAGAGCTAAGCCATTCCCAAAGAAACTGAAAAGTAAATAAGTGTTTACTGTTTTAAGCTACTTGGTTTTAGGATAATTTGTCATGCATATTAATTAATAACCTATCACTTCCTAGAACTAAGTTTTATTTGCAACAGGAAGTAAAAATAACTCATTTGAGCTTAGTGTTATTTGCTAAAATGTTAATAAAATTTCAGGTTTTCCTTTCTAATATGCTACGTAGTGATTCTTTTTTAATTCCCTCAAATTGTTGCATAATACTATTTCATAGTATTCTTCACTTTCTAAGTTGATTCACAGAAACAGAAACCTAAACAGATTTTAGTCAGCAATGATATTTTTTAAAACCTTTGTTTGTTGAGCAACTACACCAGGTACTAAATGGAGAACTATACCCTTAATTCATATTAATGTTCATAAAATTACTTATTTACGTACTGGAGGTTAAACACAGGCTGCTTTACTACTGAGCTACATCCCTAGCACTCCTTTTTTTTTTTTTTTTTAGTTTTGAGAAATGGTCTCTCTAAACTGAGAAGGCTGGCCTTGAATTTGTGATCCTCTTTCCTTAGCCTCCCAAGTAGCTGGGATTGGAGGCATTCAACTATGCCCAGCTGAAATTATTTATATATTTTAACTAAACTTGTTCCTCATGGTCCTGAAGATTATAAATCAATAGAAGGTATATAGAGCTTTTACTTTACCTCTGTGAGGGATCCACAAGGCACACCACCACGTAGGGCTTCATCCAAAGCAGAAAGGGTAGTAGATAAGAATGCTGGTGAGAGATCAGTAGACCTTTGTGTCTTTATCCCATAAGCCTGAACAACAATAAAAAAAAATGATTAAATTCTTTTCAGCCTCCATATCTACTCAAAAATATAAGTCAACTCCTAACTTCTTAACTTTAGAAGCTAAAACCCAATCCATCTTTTTCCCCTCTATTATTTATTTGTTCAACAAGTAATTACTCCATGCCAGAGACTGTGCTAGATTATGGAGATGCGATTTTACAGAGGGATTATGAATCTGGAACTAGAAATGGGCAATTGCAATACAATTATTAAGAGACAGTGTATTAGGGAAAAGGGAGACATAGAAACAGTAAAACTAATCTGAACCTTGTAATCTACAAAGGTTTCACTGAAGTGCTGTATGACTGAGCTGAAATCTGATATATTTTGTTTTATTTCTCTATTAGATGAGCAAAAGAAATGTGAATGTTTCTGGTAAACAGGATGTACAAAATTCAAGCAATAAAGATTGGAAAATGTAAACAAAATAAAACTAAAAAAAATTTTTAAAGTTCATTTAGCTGAAAGAGTGAGGCTGAGAGCAGCAAGTGATGAGGCTGGAGAAGGAACTGGGCTTAACCACGAAGAGCTCTGTAGAAGTTTGGAGTTCATGCTGAGAGCAACCAGGAACAACATGACCAAGTTATCATTTCAAACTCAAGTTGTTTTGTGAAGAACAGCTAAAGGGAGGTTCCTAGGCTAAGAAATATCCATATCAAATCCCTGGAACCGGTCTGTGAATGTTACTTTATTGGAAAAAAGGCCTCTGTAAATGTGATTTACTTAAAGACTTCATGATGAGAAGATAATACTGAATTATCTGGGTAGACCCTAAATGCCATCACAAGTATCCTTATGAGAGAGGAAGAAATTCGATATATAGAGGAAAAAGCAATGTAAAGATGGACCAGACAAGGAGTAGCCACAAGCCAATAATGCCAACACTCCTTGGAGGCTGGAAGAGGCAAGGAATGGATCTCCCTAGAGCATCAGGAGAGACAGCAGCTCTGTCTGTACCTTTGGCCTCCAGAACTATCAGAGAATAACTTCCTCTTGTTTGACATCAACAGCCTGAGGTAATTTGTGTTAGAGCCACCACTAAGAAAATAATACATCAAATTATCACTTTGAAAAGATACACAGGTTGGTTTAAAAGAGTAGCTTGAAGGTGGCTAATACTGGAAGTTGGGAGATCTGTCAGAAAGATAGTTTGCAACCATTAGAAAGAAAAATAATGGTGGCTCAAGGAGGGTATTAGCAATGGGGATAAAAAATTGCGGGTACTAGTAAATCTATCTAAAATAAACTATAGAGTATGTCTGAAGGGTTTTTTCCTTTTATATAATAAAATTCTGAAATTATTCTTTTTTCATTTTCAAAACATCAAAAATGAGTATATTTTTAAAAGTGAGTGTATTTAACCATACTAAGTTCACAATAGAATAAGTGGGTGAATAGAATAATTCATGTTATGACATGTTTAATGAACTGCAACAGAGAAAGTTGGACAAAAGGAGGCAGAGAAACTTTATCTTGTAAAAATTACAATCAGAGGCTCCATAATCATCTGGCATCTGCTCAATGTTCTATCTATAGTTAGAAATGTACATGATAGAAACTCTAGTGATTCAGATTCATCCTTTAAGGTCATGGTCAACTGTGGCCACAATGTAATACTTGTGCTGAGTTGTTCTCTGTACTAAGCAGTCATCTGCATAGTTTTCTTTGTATGTGCATGGCAATGGTTCAAATTATGGATCATTGGTGAGTTTTAAGCCATTTAATGCTTCTTCCCCCATTTCTCAATTTCAATCATTACACAATTGGTTGTACATAGGATCAACTTGACATACAGATAGTCCACCACTGACTGCAGAAAGTCCAGTCTGGCTGTAACGGAAAAGGTAATAAGCCCCGTATCAACCTGGATATGGCATGGTGGGCCCTGCTATGTGTTTTATTGGAAGAATATTCTCTTTCCTTCAGTTCACTAGGATCTTTCTTTTCTTTCTTTTTAGGCTTCAATCTCTCCTTTTCTTTAAGACTCTCATCTGAGACAAAACATTCACATTCAGCAAAGTTCCTTGCTTTCTTTTCCATCCCCATATCCACACTGCACAATGTTTCCTCTGAGATCCCTTCTTATCTCAGGAATACATCCACAAGAAACTATACAAAGAATTTTGGTGATTTCATTTGTTGGTTTGGATAATTTGGATGTACTCAGAATAATAAAATTTTAACACTCCGCAAGGACAATTGTTTTTTAAATTATTTTTTTTGATTCAGGGTCTTGCTTTGTTGCCCAGACCTAGCCTCAAACTCATGATCCTCCTGCCTCAGCCTCCTAGCTGAGATTATAGGCACACACTATCATGCCCAGCTTTAAATAACTTCTATTAATTTTCTGGGGCATTAAAATTTTACCTGACTTTAAAGGATGTTTATTTTTCTAACATTTCATCAAAAAGAACTTTTGATGGGGCTGGGGCTGAAGCTTAGTGGTAGAGCTCTTGCCTTGCAGGTGTGAGGCCCTGGGTTCAATCATCAGCACCTCATAAAAATAAATAAACAAATAAAGATATTGTATCCATCTACAACTAAAAAAATTTTTAAAAGAGATTCTGAGAAAATCTTTTTTTTATAATAGTCTCTTTTTTTAAATTTATTTTTAGTTGTAGTTGGACACAATACCTTTATTTTATTTATTTTTATGTGGTGCTGAAGATTGAACCTAGCGTCTCACACGTGCTAGGCAAGCACTCTACCACTAAGCCACAACCCCAGCCCCTGTAACAGTATTTTTTATATTTCAGTTTAGTTTTGCCTTCTCCTGGGCAAAATTATACAAATAGTCACTACCCTAGAATATGGAGCAAATGATGTCAGACCCTCTCAGATAATGCTGATTCAGGAATTAAAGAAAACAAAGGGAAAAAATGAGGATGGAACAAGGTAATAAACATTTATTGAACATCTAGCATTGCTATATTAAGTACTTTACATATATTATTTCATTTAATCCTCACAACCCTACACGTAGGTACCCTATATATACACTACACATAAGTATAATTATCTCCAGAATAAGAAATGGAGGGGCTGGGTTGTGGCTCAGTGGTACAGCGCTTGCCTGGCATGTGTGAAGCACTGGGTTTGATTCTCAGCACCACATATAAATAAATAAAGGTCCATTAACAACTAAAAGAAAAAAATTTCTTTAAAAAATGGAAACTGAGAGGTTTGCCAACAATTACTTTAAGAGGGTGTGATAATCAGCTTTTCATCTTTGTAACCAAAATACCTGATAAGAACAACTTAATGAAGGAAAGTTTATTTTTGACTCCCAGTTTCAGAGATTCAGTCCATGGTTGAATATTCCTAACAGCTCAGACCATGGTCTGACTTCATTGCTTTGAGCCCAAGGTGAAGCGAACCATCTGGCAGAAGGGCATGGGGGTGGAAAGCTACTTACCTCATGGTGGCTGAGAAGCAGAGAGAGCAAGGGGAGGGGTCCCAGAGAAAAGGGATCCTTCTGGGGCACACCACAGTGACCCACCTCCTCCAGCCATACCGTACCTGCCTACAATTACCAAGTTAGTCCATTCAATCTGCCTAGGATACACTGATTAGGTTATAGTTCTCACAATCCAATAATTTCACCTCTGAATATTCCTGTATTAGCACAGAAGCTTTTGGAGAACACCTTATATCCAAACTATTACTGTGCACACAAGAATTGTTACTGGTCTTTTTTTTTTTTTCCTTTTCCTAATTACAGACCATAACATATCTTAGCAATTTAGAATTAAAAAAAAAAAGTTAAAGAGCCAATAACAAAATTCTGAAATAACTACTATTAACATTATAGTATATATATATATATATAACTATGCATATATGCTTTTAAACTTTCATTTTTACAAAACTGGTATGTACACTATAAACAATTTCAGAGCCTCCTTTTTCACAAAGCATTTATATCCTAAGCATTTCTCCTGTTATTAAAAATTCTTCAAAAATTTTAATTCTTACATATTATCTCATCACATAAATATAGGAAAATTTATCTTCTTCCTTTTTACTGATGATTTGTTTCCCAAAGGCATAGACGGAGGTTTACTTAGGAAAGTAGACATACATTCAGTTAGAACAGGATAGGGGACAACCTCAAGGTTTCCATTTTTTGATGTAAGAAACATTTCAGTGGGTGCATGCTTCCATAGACTTTTTGTCTATAATCTGGCAACATAGGTGCACATGGGGACACTTCATCAACATGAGAAGGCAGTTCAATCTGTCAACATTAAAGTACTTCACTTATAATCATAAGTGTAAGTTCTAGAATAAAGTTTGTGATTATCGAAAAACAAAAACAAGCTGAACTAATAGAACAAGGCTTCATAAATAGTATGTAAACAAATGAGACAAAAAATAATTTTGTGACATGAAATTACACTACTTTTTCTTTTTGGATTTGTTTTGCTATTTTTTTTTTTTTTCTGTTTGGTTTTTGGGTTTTGCCATACCGGGGATTGAACTCAGGGGTGCTCTACCACTGAGCTACACCTTTAGCCCCTTTCATTTTTTATTTTGAGACATGATCTCACTAAGTTGCTGAGACTGGAACTCAAGATCCTCCTGCCTCAGCCTCCCAAGTAGCTAGAATTATAGGGTGCTTCACCACACTTAATACACTACTTTTTCTTCTATTTTGGTAATTGCTTCTTCTCTAATCTGACTTATAAATATTGGCATCACTCAGGAATTAGTCTTAGGTACACTTATCTTCTTATTATATGTACTTTTCAGGCAATATTCACCCACATCCAGAGCTTTAACTGTGATGTTTATACTTATGATTCCCAAATGCACAGTTCTAATGCTCATCTCTCTTCAAAGTCCAAATCCATATACTTTTCTGCCTACTTCATATCTCCACTAAATGTTTCACAATTGCCTTAAATTAGATAAGAACTAAACTGAATTCATGATCTCTGTCCCTCAAATCTGCTCCTGTTCCAGTATTCCATATTTCAGGAAATGGTACTACCCAGTTCCTTAAAGCAAAAATCAGGGAATCATCTCTGACATTTTCCCATAATTTCCCACCACCCACAATAGCCAAATCTTATAAATTCCATCTCCTAAATATCTCTCATATTAATCAACCTTATACCCTCTACTTAATACCACACTAACAATCCTAGTCACAATCACTTTCTGTCAGAATATAATAACAAATACCTAGCTAGTCTTCCTGAATATTTTCTTGCTCCTTTTTAATCACTTATCTGAATTAAAAACTGATTATTTAAAAACACACTTTAGATTATAGCCTTTTATGACTTCCCATTACTCTTGGAATAATGTCCAAAATCTTTAACATGGTCTTCAAGGCACTAACAATCTGATTCCTGCTTACTTGCTTTTAGCTTAAGTGTTGCTTCCTTAGTAAGTCCTCCTGTTATGGTTTGAATATGTGTTCCCAAAAAACTCATATGTGAGACAGTACAAAAGTTTTAGACGTAAAACAATTCGATTATGAGAGCTAAAACCTGATCACTGATTAATCCACTGATACGGATTATCTGAGTGGTAAATGCAGGCAGGCAGGGTATGGCTGGAGAAAGTAGGTAACTGGGGGTATGCATTGGAGGTTTATATTTTGTCCTTGGTGAGCAGGTTTCTCTCTGCTTCATGGCCATCATATCCTGAGCTGCTTCCCTCTGCCACACCCTTTTGCCACGATGTTCTGCCTAATCTTAGGCCCGGAGCTATGGAGTCAGCCAAACATGGGCTGAAGCTCTGAAATCATGAGCCAAATTAAACTTTTCCTCCTCTATACTGTTCTTGTCAGGTCTTTTGACCACAGCAATAATGAAAAGCTAACTAAAACACCTCCTGACTTCAAACTAAGTAATGTCCCTTGTTATTTTCAAAGCTCTTCATACTTTTCCTTGCACTACTATAATTATTTCCATAATTGTTTAAGGTCTGACTTCCCCATCCAGACTGTAAGCTATATGAGAGTAGGAACTTTATCAATCTTGTTCACTAGGACATTGCCAGTACCTAGCAAAGTACCTGGCACATGGTTGGCACTTAGTAAATAGTTTGTTTTAAAAATAAATGAACAAACAAATGAACAACAAAAAAAAAAACTTTCTGGAATGAATGAACTAAAGCTAAGTTAATACGTAAGGCAGTACTCAAACATAAAGAATACTACAAGAGTAGGTACAAACCAAAGGAAAAATATTACTTCTAGCATTGTATTTGGTGAGATTGCACATGCAAGCGTTGCTGCAAGTTGAAACCAAAGTTGAATTTCCTCCCCATGTTTATTTAACTCCTTAGTTAGAAATTAGCCATGGGTGCATACACATGTGTGTGTATGTACTTTTTTTTTTTTGGTACACAGGGGTACTTGACCACTGAGCCACATCTCCAGTCCTTTTTATTTTTTATTTTGAGATAGGGCCTCACTAAGTTACTGAGGCTGGGCTTGAACTTGAGATCCTTCTGCCTCAGCCTTCCAAGCCACTGGGATTACAGTGTGCAAAGCCTTAGATATTTACCATTTAAAATGACAGAAGTCAAATTAAAAGGTTTCCCTGGTTCTTTATAACTTTGAATATAGTAACAACTTAATTTGAATTTAGTCACAAAATCAACATGTACTTTTTAAAACTTTCTACCTTCTCATATAAAACAAAGACAGCTTGTGGTATGGAACATAAATGTTCCCCAAGGGCCCATCTGCTAAAGGCTGGGTCACCAGACTGTGGAGCTATTCAGAAGTAGTGGAACCTCTGAGAGGTAAGCCCTACTAAAGGAAGCTGGGTCACTGCAGGCTTGCCATTCACTGAAGGGGATGTTAGGACATTTTGTCTCTTTGCTTTCCAGCCACCAGGAGGTGAGCAGCTTTGCTCTATCACACACTCCCCACCATAATGTTCTGCCTGGAAAAAGGCCTAAAAACAAAAGAACCAACTAATCTTGGACTGAAACCCCTGAAACCATGAGCCTAAATGAACCTTTCCTCCTTATATGTTTATGTCAGATACTTTGTCACAGCCATAGAAAGCTAACAGAGCTGTTCAAAGCAATGAAATCAATGATAAACCAAGACTAGTACCTAATTCTGATTTCTAATTCTGATTCTAATTCTCCTTCGGACTATCCCATCTGTAAGGTCCTTAGGTCACAAGCTAAATGTGAACTAAGGAAAATATCTGTAGTTCAGATAACTCATTGTTTTTAGAAGTTTCAAATGAAACTAATATTCCAGCTTTCTTTCCTTTTTTAGGAAATTGTACCCTACTTTATTGAATGGTTACCAAATTTCAAAATAAGATAATAGATAAGGTAAATAAATTGCAATCCATACAAATAAATACATCTGCAAACAGAACCGACTTTTAGGCAACTCTTGTTCTGAGAAAACAAGATCTTTCCACTGTGTTCAAAATCTACATTCTGAAAAGCTACAGTTACAAAACAAAAAGCATTAAAAAAAAAAAAAAGTACATTTTGATGAGGGCTTATTATAAAGAACTTCAGCTTTTCCCAAGAGTAAGGATAACATTTTGGACATTATTTGTTCAGTTAATAAGCAAGTATATGTATTTTATGATATGGAGTAAGTAATGATGGTAAAAGTTAAGTATGACAGAGAAAAAAGGACATTCAAAAATTGAGTATGTTATAATTTAACCACAAAGTCCTCAAATCTTACCCAAATAAATGACAAATAAAGATGACCTTTTGAAATACCACTATTAGCTGCAGAAAAAAGAAAACTTCCTGTTGCTCCCTAATTCCTACATTTAGGAATTGTCTCGTATGATTTTATAAACCTCATAAATTTTTCACATGTATTCTCATTAGAGGACTAACATTATGGTAAGATACTTGATACTTCTGAAGTACTCATCTCTACTTTTGCTTCATCCAAAAAAAAATTTTAAATGAGACAAAGAATCATTGCATAATCAAATCAAAAAATAGATGATACCGTTTGCATTTGTGGGGCACAGGCCCTGCTGACCATACACAGAAGTTCATGGACACCTCGGTAACTCAGGCCAGTTACCTTCATAAGTTCCAGTGGGGAAAGACATAAAAAGTCCTAAAGAGACAAAGAGAATATTTTAAACACAAATGTGAAACAAGGATATTGGAATAAAAGGAAATTTTCAATTGACATTGCCCATATGTAGATAAAAATGTAATTATTTGCAGATCAAAGATTTATGCATTCTTTCTTCTTTGCTGTGCTAGGGATTGAACCTAGGGCCTCACACATGCTAGGCAAATGCTCTACCACTGAACCACACCCCAGCCCTACGCATTTTTTTATTGTATTTTTCCCCTAAACATGCCTTAACTAAAAATATGATGACATAATCTTATATTCTAATTATTAGTTCAATCAGCATATATCAGACGACATACCAGGCAACATTATATAGCAGTAGCATCCAATTCAGGTTTATATGAACACTGCACTTGTACCAGAAAGAATCTGGGCCTATACCAGAAAGAATCTGGTGCATATTTGTATGCACCCAGAAAATGTCAGGTTGCAATGTATTTTTGGGGGTACACTTCAGTGGCAGAGCACTTGCCTAGCATGCATGTGGCCCCGAATTTGATCCTAAGTACTGAAAAAATAAAAGGTGTTTATTTCTAATTTAAAGTTTACTCAGATAAAGTATTTGATAATTGAGAGAAAATAGAGCTGAATGTGGAATGTTAAATTTCATACTTTTTAGAGCATTCTGAAATATGAACAAGAGGATTATTAAATGTATAATGGAGGAACCACAGATGCACTTAACATACCAACTGATTCAAAAAGAATCAAGTATGCTCTGATATCTGTCTTGTTAAGGATAAAATCCTAAAATAAATCATTAAACTTTTTCCCCCCTCCTGAAAGGAAATTATTTCATTACAGTGCTTATTAAAAATGCAATATTTACTCTATGTATTTCTCAGCCTTCATTAATAAGAAAATAGTACTAAAAATTAGTTGTAACTATTAATTTCTCTTCCAAGAGAAATTTCCCATGTTGAATACCATCTCCTAATTTGAGTAGAATTTCTTATGTAACTACAAAAAGTAGATAAAAATTTCTGTACAGCCCCAAATAAATGGTATGAGTATATTTCACCTTACATCCCCTAAAATGCAAAAATATTAAATTTCAGTAAATGAAATTACATTTGGAAATGCAACCTAAGTGGCTTATGGAAAAGCACCATCATTCAACTTTTTTGGGGGAGGATGGGGGGGAAGATGTGGGGGCAAACCTAAGTTTTTATGTTCCAGGTTTAAGAATTATCAAAGTGGACTGGGGTTTTGACTCAGAGGTGGAGTGCTTGCCTAGCACGAGTGAGGCGCTGGGTTCAATCCTCAGCACCACATAAAAATAAATAAATTAAATAGAGGTATTGTGTCCATCTACAACTTAAAAAAATTTAAAATAAAACAAAGGATCATGGCTAAGGTGATTAGCCATTAAAGAAAAAAGAATTATTAAAGTATATTTACTTAAAGTTAATTGGGCATAAAATCTCTTAACGAAAAAAAATTAACTATTAAGTTTTACCTGACAGGTAACAATCTGATGTCTGCTCAGACGGTCACACAGCTCTTGAGTTAAACCGACTCGTCTTAGTTTCTTGCTACCCATGCTTCCAGATCCAGCAAAGAAAAGAAGAACCTTGAAAAGAACATCAGAAAATAATATACATGATAGTGGATGGGCTTTCCAAAAGTTTCTCCATGTGCAAAATGAAACGTGATATGTAATTGATTAAGAAAGAAAAAATGATGGCTTTAAAGAGGAGGAAACACCTATTTATTCAACACACAAAACAAGACAACCTCAGAATGTGCATTTCACACAATTCTTTGATATTTATTCCATAAATATTGTTATATATTTCATAATTATATAGCATCTTAAGATTGTCAGGATATTTATAGTTTATTTGGATATGTAATTAATTCAAGGCATATATCCAAACAGCACCCCTAGAAGTCTTTATTTTTATTGCACTATAACAATAACGGCTAAATTTATTGAGTACCTCCTTTATGCCAGGCACTGTTCCAAAAGCTTTACCTTAATTATCACATATAACATTTTCAAAAGGCCTAAAAGGAAAGTAGATTATTGGACCCTCTTTTACATATGAGAAAACTAAACTGGAAATGTCTGCTAACAGAAAAAGTAAATGATAGGGCTGGAGTTGTGGCTCAGTGGTAGAGCGCTTGCCTAGCATGTGTGATGCACTACGTTTGATTCTCAGCACCACATATAAGCAAATAAATAAATAAAGGTCCATCAATAACTAGTAAAAATATTTTTTAAAAAAAGTAAATGGTGGATTCAGAACCCAGCAATCTGACTCTGAGGCCTATCTTCTTTGTGTGTGTGTGGGGGGGGGGGGGGGGGCTGAACTCAGGGGCACTCGACCACTGAGCCACATCCCCAGCCCTATTTTGTATTTTACTTAGAGACAGGGTCTCACTGAATTGCTAAGTGCCTCACTTTTGCTGAGGCTGGCTTTGAACTTGTGATCCTCCTGCCTCAGCCTTCTGAGCCACTGGGATTACAGGCATGCGCCACTGTACCGGACTGAAACCTATCTTCTTAACCATTACACCCTACTGCAAGTCCAGAATCATATTAAACCTTCCTTTTTTCTAGGAGCCAGAACAAACCAGAATCAAATGAGATTTATTATGGTTATTATCTATAAATCAAAATTGTTCTTTATTATAACAGCTGCTTATAATATCAATGCAATTAAATTTCATTCTTGTTGTACCTTGCTGAGAGCAAATGAGGCTCATGAAATGTTTGTTTTTGGAGAGCTAGAACAGAATCCCTAACAATAATAATGCATACAAAGGAAAGGCTGTGCACCTCACCTGAGGTGGCAAAGCATTCTCTGAAAAGAGTAGAAATAGGAACTCATCATTGCTCCAGGGAAAAAAAGCAATATAATTATCAGTAATATTTTGGAACACATTCCACAAACATAAAATATATGATCCTCATTTTCTAATGGGAATTTCTTAGTATTGATTTGTTTTCCTCAATAGAAAGTTTACAAAGTGACATCTACCTGCTAGATTATTGTTTAGTATCTTTTCAGATCAGGTAGTTCCAGGCAATAATACCATTTAGACTGATAAATTCAGTGGGTCAAAAATAGAACAACCACCAAAAAAGTAACCCCCAAACTACAGAGATTTTTAACAATAACCAATCTGCTAACTTTGTTTTAACAAGGCCTGGACTACTGCATACTGTTTTTGGTCACTCCCCATTTTACCAAAAACAAAAACAAAGAAATAAAAAACATTCCATTCAATTTGTTCCTTCCACAGACACTTCTTAAGTACAAACTCTGCTGAACTCTGGGACAGAAGAATCATTCAGATAGATTTCCTCCCCTTTGGGTACACACAGTGGAGAAATGCAAAGAGATGTACGAATACACAAATAACCACAGTCCTGCAGTAAGTGTTGCTATTTAAGTGCTATGGGAGCTGATCGGAAAAAATCGCCAATGGGCCTGAAAAAGTTAGGTCAGTGTCACAGTCTTGCCAGTTTTCTAAAAACTTACTTTTATCCATTAAAACATCCCACAGGCACATCAGGCCACAGAATAAATTCCATACTTCTTAGGATCATATTTTTAAAACTTTAAAGGTGGGTCCTGTACGTTCATTCACACATCAAATTGCAAGGCTCATATCCTGTCCTTCCTGGAAAAAGTTACTTACCTGCCAGTATATTGGTTACCTCATCTGTAAAACTGAGGTAACTTTAATATCAACTTCATAGGATAGCAGCAAGGGGTTAAAAGCCTTAGGTTGTGGCTGGCACACAGCGCTCGGTTCATTCAGCAAACATCATCTAACCTGCTCTCCAGCCAAAACGTTTCTTGGTAGGTTACTCAAGCACCCTCTAGCCTCCCTGACTTCCCTCCACAAGGGCTTCCCCAGAGTAGGACTCTTCCTCTCCAACATTTCCATCATACTTTGTACATATTTGTTTCATAATATTATTAAGGCATCTTTGTTTCTTCCTGCTGCGTACGTGTGTGCCCATCTATGCGTTTTGGAGGCGAGGAGAGAAACTTAAACCCCGAAAATTGAGCTCTTTCCACTCCGCCACCAAGAAAAATCCTGTTAGACGTTTAATGAAAACTGTGAAGTAACAATACTATCTGAAATTTGGATGTTTTACCTCATTTTACAGATAAGGCTATTGAGACACGAAGTTGAGAAACGCGCAAGTCAAACACCTAAACCATTGGTGGAGCCCGCCTCCGAATCCAGGAACGAGTCTAGATTATTCCAAGCTCTTCAACACCACCTGAAGTGAGACCGTCCCTGAACTTCCCCTAACGACAGGATTCTCTAGACCCCGATCTGTCTTAAGTGGTGATGGTATGTGTGCGCCTGGGAGAGGGGAGATGAAAACGTTACGGGAGGAAAAAGCTTTCTCCCACAAAGGGCACCTTCCAAGCATCCCCCCACCCCATCCCCGCAAAGGCCACCCGACCTGAAGCGGGATTCCCGTCAAGAGCCCTACCCAGCATCCAAGAGAGGCTCTCCACCACCCCGACAGCAATATCCACGGGCTCAGGAAGGGAACCGGAAATAATGAGAATACCCACTTCCCTACAACTGTTCTCCACAAGAAACTTTCCAGTACCAAGTGTGCAGCTTCCAACTTTCAAAGTTTCCCCCACTCTTCACACAGTTCCCCGCGGAAAGCGCCGCAGAACAACAACCGGAGCGCTGGTTGGTCGTCATCATGGCTATTTATCCAATCAGAGGCAAGCACAAGCCCAGGTGGCTCCGATGATTACTGGGAATGGTAGTTCTGATACCTAAATCTATGTATGAGCTACGAATCAGAGTCAATTTCTCATTATAGTGATCCTCAAAATCCGGTGTAGGAACATCACCAAGAGAGTGTGAAGCAAAGGAAACCTTGCTTGGAATTTTCTATTTTCTTTCATGCACTATAACATTTAAAAATTGTTTAATGTACGAGAGAGGCATGTTTTCTGGGGGATAGATATCAATCTGCTCATCACAGAGAGTTTTTAGAAGAGGATCTTGTGTTTAATTTGCCCTTTTCAAAAATAGTTTGGGAACTGCTTATTGAAATTGCTCGAACTGAAAAACACACATTGGGGAAACCCATGGGTCTCTAGCTGAAAACAAACACAAAAGAAAGCAAACAGAAGGTTTGTGTAAATGCAGTCACAGTGAGGAAATCTAATATACCATTAAGACTTGATTTCAGAGTATTATTCGCAAAAAGCCTTTGTTCGTTCTTTGCTCTCCCCTGTGCAACTCCTCCATGCATACCTCGATTTTATAATTTAAACCACTGTAACCTAATTATTGTCCTGCACCCCTCCTTTGAGAAGAGGTATCTTGCCTCATTCGAGGGAAATGGACCTGGCACATTGTTCAATTAACGGTTGCTGAGAAAATGAGGAAATAAATAAATGGAGTGAAGCAGAAGAATATGAAAATTCAGACCACAGAGCTCTGGGATTATAAGAGAGCCCAAGTTGAATAATAATGGAGAATAGCCCTGGTATCCCTAGAGTCTAGCAAAGCGTTGGCACTAAACACGTGTTGACTTCCAATGCTATGAAGAGCAGGGGAAAAAAATAGAGGAATATCAATTGTTCCTGCCACCTGCTCCACCGAAGGCAGAATTGAAAGTGTTGAGAGGAGGAGCTGTAATTGAGAGGGGCTGGTCCCTAGCCAAGCCAGCTGAATTAACTCTTTCCGAGCTTTCGCTACTGGTGAGATGGCATCACGTGACTCAAACATGGCACTAAATTTACGTCCTCCCTCCACTGAGCCAATAGGAATGCACCGTCAGCCGTCGTCACCGCCCACACCGCCTCTGTTCACAGAGGATCTGTCACCTGACTCGTCCCAAATATGGCTGCGCTGGAAGCTCTTTTGCTTTGGGCGCGGGTAGCAGGTGAGTACAAGGCGCCAGGGAGAAAGCAGGGCGCTCTCCAAGACCCGGGTAGTAAGTGTCCCTGCCTCCCTCACGCCCCTTCCCCCGCTAGCCCTCCACTTCAGGCTTTCGTCTCCTGATCTTCAATCCTCTGGCTTAATTGAAGGCTCAAACGAGGGGAATTCCTGCTTAATTTTTCATCCTTGCCGCGGCGACCATCTGGGGATTTGGAGCCGGACTGGCACAGTGTTTAAGAGAGAATATGGAAGTCAAGTTATGGGTCGGACTCCGGGCTAATACGATGGTTAATATTATTAAATATAGGATCTTCATTGGTATCCACACTTTGGAGAACGTGGTAGGTCTTAAAAAGAGATGGTAACATCAAATTAAACTTAATAAGGAGAGTAATTCCCGCCTTTCCTAGTCGGGCCAGTAGTTGCTGGTTTAAATAGAGTTCCGTTTCTTCTCACTGTGGTACGTTGTTCCTAGGAGGAGCTCCACGAATGAGAAAATTGAGGATGTGTTCCGCCTAACTCATCTCTGTCTATCTCCCTGCACTCTGTGCTGGGAAAATGAATCATCCATTTGGAGAAGAAGAAACTGCTACCTTGAAACAGCTTTTGGGGTTTTTCTGTGAGTGCCTGCGGAGGGGAGAATGGGAGCTGGCACAGGCATGTGTACATCAGCTACACGAGGGGCACGGGGATATCCCAAAGAGGGTGGAAGACATACTTCGGGCACTGGTGCTGTGTCCAGATCTGCTGAGGTAAGGATCTCCCTTTTTGACAGGGAATTTCAGGATAGAAGACATGGTTCAATATGTGGGCTTTGGTTAATGTGGTCCATTCAACTATCTTCTAAGAATTAGCAGAGCACAGTATATTTCACATACTCTGAAATTTTCCTAATATATGCCCATTACTTTTACCAATATAGTCCATTGGTTTGGGGTTATGATCTAGAACTGGATTTAAGCCTGGCCACCAAATTGTGCCTTAAACCACCATTTCTTGGCATATGTGCATTAAAAAGTATTTTCTTTACCTCCAAAAAGCAAATCCTGCTCTAGTCTAGATTTTGGTGTAGTTTTTCCCAGTTTCCACTAATTGTGCCATCTCATATAACTATAGTACAATATCAAAACCTGGAAATTGACACTGGTATATTACTGTTCACTAAAACCTGATTTGGTTTTCACCATTTTTTAAGTCTGCATTCATTTGTTATTGGTAATTCTATGCAATATTATCCATATTATCCCATAGTAATAAAGATACAGAACTATTGCATCACTGCAAAAGAATTTCCTCACCTCTTTTTATTTGCACTATAACCCTTCCTTGTCTCCATCCTAGATTTTTAATGAAGTTCTGCCTGATGGTGCTATTACTAGTGGTATAGGAATGAAATGTACTGTTTTTGTCTTTCCTTGGCTTGTCCTTACTTTAACCATTATTTACAGTATTGAAGTATTGTATTAGCACATAAAGAATAGAGAAACAAATGATCCTTTTCTTCCTTTATTTGTTTAGGATCTAGCTGGTTATTGTCTGCATTACTAATTTCAAAGAAAGGCTTATGAATTCCTAAAACTCTTTTGCATATAATTAAAAATAAATTTTTATGAACTTCCTTTTTTCTTTTATATTTGATTAATTGTTTATATTTAAGAATATACTTTAGATAGAATTAGCTGTTGCAATTTTCTCTGTAATATTATATTTAAAAGTAAGACTAACTCACTGGGCACAGTGTCACACATCTATAATCCCAGCAACTCAGGAGGCTGAAATAGGCGGATCACAAATTGGAGGCCAGCCTCAGTAATTTAGCAATTTCCTAAACAACCTAGCGAGGCCCTAAGCAACATAGCAAGACCCTGTCTTAAAATTAAAAATAAAATGGGATGGGGTTGTAGCTCAGTGGTAAAGCACCCCTGGGTTCAATCCCCAGTACCAAATAAATAAATAAATAAGATTAAGTTGGCCATAGTGAAGAATGCCTTTCATCCCAGACACTCGGGAGACTCTCTTGGGCCCAGCCCAGGAATTGGACACTAGCCTGAGTAATGTAGCAAGACCCTGTCTCAAAAAATAAAAATAAAAAAAGATTGGGTAAAGAGGTAGAGGTTGGTTAGAGACTTTCAAGGAAGCTGCCAGCTCTATTCTAGGGTTTATGTTTTATTGAGCTACTATATATAACTGAAAAATTTTATTAGGACTTTCTTGTTCAGGCTTAAATGGACTTTCTGATTTATTAAAAACTAAATTTTGGATTACAAAAAGAGAAAGGGTCAGTAGAAACTCTGTTTTACAAAATTTTTCTTTTCACTTTATTCAGATGTGAGCAGGACATCAGCCCTCAAAGATTAGCCTGGCTCTGGCTACTAGTACTAGAAAAATGGTTGGCCCAGGAAAAGGTAAGAAAATTTACATTTAAATTTTCTCCGAAGGCATTCGCTGAGAAGAACTTAGAAGTAGTTATGGGATTTTCCGTCTATTTGTTACTTCCTTTATTATAAAAGTGGTCATAATCTCTCTCAGTATTATCAGTGAGAGTTGTTTAAACAGTTATTGCTGTCTCCTTACCTAAATTCCTTCATTAATTCACTAACATACATTGGCATATAAAAGCCAATGATGATGCCATTTTTTTAAAATACCACTATGAGTCTTGTACTTAAAGAGAACTTGGCAAAACTCAGTTAAAGTGCCAAGATAGCAAATAAAATAAGAACCCATACATTTGGATCTATTCAGCATTCAAGTATTAGAGAATGAGCTGAGCTGAAAATTGGTTTTTATACTAAAAATCTTTTCACTAGTCTAAAACAGTGAAATCTATGGATGTAAGCCCTGTTAGTAATTTAATAATGCATAAGAATTGAATTAAAATTTAACTAAATATAAAAATATAGCAAATTAATAGTGAAAGAAAACTGATAAGATAGTGCTTTCTTTTTTTTTTTTTTTTTAAGGAAATCTTCCAAAATCTCTTTTAGAAGAGCTTATTATTAGAGATAGAGATCCATTGAAGGAATTTCTGTGAATCAATTTCATATTGAACCAGAAAATTTAAGATTTAAGTGAGGAGGCAGGCAAGGTGGTACATACAAGTAGTCCCAGCCAGTCCCAGCCACTAAAGAGGCTGAGGTAGAATGATTGCTTGAGTCTAGGAACTAAAGGGCGTGGCAGCAAAACCCCATCTCAAAAGGAAAGGAAAAAAAGAAAAAAGAAGGGATTGGTTGACTTAAGTGAGGAACCTTTGACATACCATATAGTTAATTGACAGAACTGGAGCTGAAACCAAGATCTGACTCCTAATCCTTTGCTTTTCATACTTCAACATTATTTTTTGGCCTACATGGAGTTAAAAGTGAGAACTTCTGTTTTTGAAATGTCTGTCATTTAGCCTAATTTTTCTTATTTTTACTCCCTCAGTCATGAGGATTAATTTTGTCTTTAATGGAACATTTATCCTTCACATAGCTGTCAGAAAGTAACAAATTGCTGATCTAAATGTATCGCTTACCCAGGTGTTGGCAAACTGCCTACTAAAGAGAAAAGACAGAAAGGTAGCAGGAAGGGAGAAGAGAGAGAAAAGACTTAAAAATGATGATACAGGATAATTAAGAGTTAGAATTAAAAGAAAAAAACTTGAACTAAAGTAGAAATATCCTCCCATGCTCCCTCTCCCTACCCCACTATGAGATGAATTCTAGATAGAGCAGAGGAATAGGAGGGAAAGGGAGGGTG